AGTCCATGTGGCAAAGGCGTGACCATAACACATACTCAGAGGTTTTAGCCTCGAATTAGTCACTATGACGCAGGGGAAGACGAATAACGCCTCGGGTGGCACAAATGGGGTTGCAGGGGTAGAGTGAAATATGTGAACCAGGGAGAGGGCAGACGGATATTACGAGGCAAGAGAGAGACTGTAGTAAGACCTATGGAAGGAGGACTGCGTAACAATATGGGAGACTGATCAATGTTCTCAGCACAAGGATGAATGGGGGTGAGGATGCCAGCATGGTGTGCGGAGGGTTGTCGTGATAGGCACTCAAAAAGGCACACCGTACCACATTTAATTAAGCAAGTAAAAAATTGTGACAATGGAGGCGTAATAGAAGGATATTGGAAATGTGAATAGGCCAGGGCAGAAGGGGAGATACCATAATTGTCTAGCGCACGTTTGGTCAAAGGATCGGCTTCACTTGTCTCTTTGACGAGTTGTAATATGGTGCTACGAATGCAAAACTCACTGAGAATGCCGACTACGACGCCAGCGAAACGTCTGATAATGTACCACGTCCGCGGTCCGAATTTGGAAATGATTATGCATGCAATGGACTCAGGACAAGGTGCGTTCCTCTGGTCCTGCTACCAATATGACCGAGTTGCGAAAACAAGGTCAAACAACTTCTCATTAGTCTTGGACCAAATAAATGATTGCATATCCGGCACAATTTGGTTTTACCTATTAGTAGGTCTGGCAGCCCAGCGGACTGATTTGCTTAAAAATATAGATCTCATTAAAAGATTATTGGGGCTGCATGAATGAGAGACTGGCCAACCTTTCACTTTAGCATGTGCAAAACGGCAGGCCTAAAGTTAAGGTTGAAAAAGAAAGTGATCACGTCGCGTAAATGACGTCGATTGTGAGTTGATGTGTCGCCTGCTTTTCAGCCCTTCCCATAGACCTAGCGGCCCGAGGCATGCGCGGATCGATCGGGAATGTTCAAGAGCTAAGCGAGAGATAAGGAATTAGCAGTGGAGGCATGAGACAGAGTGATTTAAACTTACCGGTATAGCCAACTTGTGGCCTTAGCGATGATTTGAGCGCATGATGGCCTGGCTCACCAATGCACAAACGTGATGATTCAGGAAAAGGAGACAGACAAAAGGCCAGGCATGCGGCAGCATCTGAAATCGCTAGTTTAAGCTGAGTTCGGTTCGATTCGGCTCGGTTCGGCCTGGCCTGGCATGGCCTGGTGCCTTCGACTGAGTTCACCATGCATTGCCAACGTCATAATAAAGCGGGCCTAATGAGGGGAAAACTCATGAGTAAATGAAACTTTATAAATAATATTCGATTTTACTTAAGTGGATGACTGAACACGGAAGAAATGTTAAATATAACATAATTCTACAAAGAAATACCACATCAGTTTATAGAAAAAATGAGCCTTATGGCATAAAAACAATAATCTCCAATGGTGAAAGCAGCATTTAGCAAAAATTTCGTATGGCCTGGGCGTATTGTGACTCTATTACTAGCCTATTACTCGATAAAGCTGTTCCCATTCATCTATGAGTTACTAACTCCTATTTGGGAAATATATATATACATATATATATATATAGTCAGTGGGCTTATATTTGCCGCTAGTCAAGGCTATCAGTAATCATATGACATTCAAGTAAAGTATGTAGAAAATTGGGTTTAAAAGAATCCCTTAATAGAGTGATGATGTAGGAGTACCTTTCATTTCGTATGAGGAGGTGATGGGAAGGAATTTGGAAGTTGGTCTAACTGGAAGTTGTAGGGGGAATGCCATGGAGCTATGACTAGATTTGTGCGAATATGTCTCTTACATTAAGCCATTTAGGGATTCTGTGGAATTCAGTTTTACTACATAATGTTATCTAGCCTCGTAATTGCTTGACCTTGTTACGCAACTTGGTCATATGGGCAGGAAGACGTGGAGGAACGCAACTTGTCCAGAGCTCATAGTATGCATGACAATTTCCTGAGTCGGACCGTGGAATTGGTACATTCCCAGAAGTCCCGCCGGCATCGTCAGTGA